CGACACATCTGTATTCAATTCCACTTGTATCTTTTCCATGACCAATCTTTTGTTGGAATTCAAATGTACTGATAAATTTTGACCTATGTCCCGTACAGCAGCTGATTTAAGATGCTTCAACGTCTGCTTCTTTTCTTGTGAAAATTTCTTAATGAAAAAGAAAAAAAAAAAAGATATATCATTGAATTAAAATATACAACGTCGAATTGATTTGTGATGAATGACATTAATACTTATTACATTTTGTACACACCAGTAATGATGGCTCGGGATTCTTTTGCGTAACAACAGACTGATTTGCCTCTGCGACAGCTCTCAATAAAAGTGACTGTGTGGCGCGTTTCTGCGTTGGTTGTAACGGTTTCAAAGGTCTTGGCGTTACGATTACTTTACTGGGTATCTTGGTCTCTTCAACTTCCTCATCCGCATCGCTGCATTCTTTATTATTCTTTTCTAACGATTTCGTTCGTTTCCTGTCAGTCTTAGCTGGCGCAGGCTTATTTACAGCTATTATGTGAGACTTGATAGGTCCGACTGTACCTACAGATTGTGTCTCATCGTCCAATTCCTCTTCTGCACCTAGATTGAGGTAGTCGTCGTCCTCGCTACTTTGAGAACGCCTGATCGACGAATTAAAGCCACACTTCACGCTCGCAGGTTTGAAATTATTCTTCAATGGTCCCAGTCTGTTCTTTATATTCTTATTGTTGGCCAGAGTGTCACGATCTTGTTCCAAGCGCTTGCTCTTAAATTCTATAGAATCTTTATTCCCTAACTGTTTAGGGGATTTATTGGTACTTGCAATCCCCAAACGGTCTTTAATGGTACCCGTGGTTTTTTCTATAGATTTCGACTTTAGATTAGAATTCGCCTTTTCCCTTACCTCTAAATTTTTGGTTGCTTTCTCGACCTTGGAATTGCCCAGTCGAGTCTTTATACTACTGACTTTGTCAGGCTCATTGTGCTTCAGTTGGATCTCGCGGTTCCTTTTCATACGATCCTCCGCATCGAAGACCCTCCCCCGTGAAAAGTTATTACTCCGATTGTCGACCCGATGCTTCTCGAAGCGCTTCTCGTTCTGCCTGTACCGACTCTCGGAATTGATTTTCTCTCGGTGGACCTCGAACTTCTTTCTCGATGACACGACGCCCAAACGATTTTTTACAGATACGACAGACGTAACTTTTGGCTTGTTAACGCAAGACTTCAATCTCTTTGCGTTGTCCTCTACTGTACCCTCATCGTCCCCCTCGACTTTTGACCTCTTCGCTTCAATCTGCTTCTTCTCCAAGCAGCTTTCTTTATAACTGTTCGCCGTATCCAGTGATCTCTTCAGATTTCTAGATGATCCATCATCTACCTTTGTGTCAGTATGAGACTCTCTAGATTTGTTATTGGAAGAAGATTCAAAAGTTGAAACTTCTTTATTTATTTCTTTAGCATTCTGACTGTCGCTCGCTTGTGTTCTTTTGGTGGTAGATTGCTGGGCAACAGCGTGATTTGATGCACCATCCTGCTTAACTTCATTACCGACATTTTTCACAGGCTTCTCCACGCTCTTACTCTGCGTAGTCTCCAACTTTTGATTGAACAAGGATGTCTTTGCAGTTTGCTTATGCAGTGACTTGTCATCCTTCACACTTTTGTTGGAAGACTTCTCAACGGTTTGATTGGCAGCCTGATCTTCCAAGAACGAAGTCGTTGATGTTTTTTTCTTTTTCCTTTCTTCCTCCTGCTTTACGACGACTGTCGGCACAAACTCTCTCAACGATCTTTTCTTGGCAATGGTAACCTTCTGCAACTTTTTCAATACCTGATCGTGCAGCCAATCGACAAACGGTGTTGTGCAGTTTTCCAGAAACAGATACAGATCCTCGTGCATCTGCTGACGAGACTTTTTATTTACAACCATCACCAAAATATAATCTGGCAGTTCCTCATCGTATCTTATCCCCAGTTCCAATAATTTAGCACGAATAGCACTCTGTAAAAGAGAATGATAAGGCATCTTTATTAAAGATAAAATTTTTGTCAAATAAAGGGAAAAACACACAAATTTCTGCAATTTCTCATTTTTACTACTTCTTATTTCTATTGTTTCTATAAATTTGTATAAATTTGCATAACTTCGTTGCTTCCCAATATTTTTTTCCTTTTCTCTCCTACTTTTTTTTCTTTTTTGCTTTATCACGATTTTATTACATTTGCATGAAATCTCTATGCAAATTGATCAATAAATTGATCGAACTATATATTAAATACTGCCTACTAATACGACTACGATTGTACTGCATGAATCGTCGAAACCTAGCATTAAATAAACATTATCGCACGGTCTTGTTAATAATCAGGATGCTCGTTGATAATCGAAATCAAAACTCTGCGTCCGCGAAATTATTGAACACAGCGAACGGACGAGTAGAACGGCCAGTAAAAATGCAATCACATAAAAGCGTGAATGTTTCATTTACCCGCAACTGATTCGTAACTTCTATTCCGCGTATGTCCATGACGTTGATTACATTTAACAAGGTGAACGCACGGGAGGCAAGAATTGTTGTCGTGTCACAAAATCGACGATATTAGTACAAACGCCGAGAAATGAAAACATTCTCCGCCACGAATGATCAGTATGCTTTCTTCTATTGAACGTGTGGCTCGTCTAGATGGGAAACTCTACAGGACGTTTGCCTCGTTAATTTATCGCCGCCTTTTCTCGACACTTTGTTGCACTTTTATTCGAATCGATAATAATATTAATTGGAATCGATAATAATATTAATTGGAAAAATGCGCCACACACAATATAAAATTAATTACTTTACGATGAGCTTTTTTTTTTTTTT